CTGGTGTGTGTCGCCATCTTGGTGCAGGGTGCAGCATTAGGTATGTGAGACCAGTTCCCCGATGTGTCAGAGGTTCCCGCTTCTGTGCCTTGTTTTGCAGTGGGTTCTTCCGTGGTGAGGGAGCTGGCTTATTGCGTCCCCGTCTTTTCCGCTTATTGCCGCCTTGAGGTGAGCGTTGTGCTGGGATGCCTTGACGGGTGTTTACCGGTGGTCATTGTGGCGTGTTGGTTTGCATGCGCACAGTTGCTTTGCCATGTATTGTGGGCGTCTGGGGACCGCATTTTCTATTGCTGGTTTTGAAGCACGCGGCGTCCGCCATCTTAGGTTGGGTGCCCCGGGTCAGGCTGCTGATGCTGCTGGGCCCAAGCTGCCTAGCCGCTTTTGGGGTCACAGGGTGGAGACCAGAATCACCCCCACCGGCCCAGAGGGGGGGAATAGGGCCAGGTCCTCACTGGTCCGGTTCTCCGGCCGGGCACTGTCAGGCAGGATAGCGGGGCAGCGGCCGTCCGCCCTGCTCACCACCGAAGAAGGCCCCATCTGGAGCGGCAGTTTCTCCCCCAGGGGACTGCAACTCTGGGAGTCAGCCTCTCCCTGGGTCCAGTGGTCTCAGCACATGGAGGGTCAGTCCTGTCGGTCTGCTATCCCAGGGTAAATCATGCTTTAAGGGCTTATAGAGTGGGAAAGTGCAGGAGCTAAGGTTGCTTGCGACCATCCAGCTCGGCGGTCCGGCCCCACCCCCCAAATAATGCCCCTTTTAAGTATGTATAAGTAAATTTAAATTAAAGTGCCAGTGCACATAAGCTCTTGTTGAAAAGTTATCAAGAAGATGTGTTTCCCCAATTCATATCAACTGAATATTTATTGCATGCAATATAATAAATAATGATTATAATGCAATGAGTCTCTTACCTTTTGATATGATATAGTCAGACCTAACTACATTTACAAACATTTCAATTTTTATACAGCTGTGCTTTATATATAGCAGTGCTGATCACCGATAATTGGGAGCATTATCATGTTTTGCCAGAAGTGCAAAAAATTTTTCAAAAATAATAAATCAGTTTATTAATACATACTGCTGACAATGCATTGCATTAATAAGTGGGACGCAATGCTGGAGTATGCCTATAATCTGAAAAGCTATAGAACGTTGGGGTTTATCCACGGAACACTAAATTGTGATAAACTACAACATTTAGGCATGCTATAATAATAACAAATTTGAAGAATTTTAGCCAAAATTTTACTACTTGTTTTTCAATTCATTACAATGCGGTGTAAAGTGAATACACCAGTTCAGTGCATGATGGATAACAATAAACCACAGAAAATGCAGGACAAAAATGGCAAGACTTTAACAAGTAGAGGAATAAGAAGACGGTATACAAGGCAGTGTATTTACTAACACTCACCAGGCTGTGTAATCACAGATATTTGCCTGCAAACATTGTGCTGTCATTTCACTTGGAGAAGTTATTTATGTGCAGTGCACAGATGGCATTGCTGTGATTTCCAATCTATAGGGCTGATGGCGGTATCAGAGAATGCATTAAGGATTTAATAATGTATAGCTCACACTGACAAACAGTTCTGGGTACCGAGGCAATTGCAACAAAAACAGAATATGGGAATTATGAGAATGCACAAAAACTCAGAGAAACTCAATAGCTAGGCATTCGGTAGGATTTGCACCTGTAATTTTGGTACCCCATATGATTGTTAACAATGCTTCTCAAGATGCTCTCCCAGCGTAAAAATGTACCGTCAAACATCAGGGGGCAGAAATTACACATCACTGTTTTAGAGAGTTAGTTTTATGACTTAAAGTGTTTCTCTAACAACCACAACCACTTTAGTGAATTCAAGTGGTCATGGTGGGAGCTGGGAGGAGACGGAATGTTCAGCGTTTCAGCGAATGACGCACATTCAGATTTATAATCACTTTTGTGCCGGGGACTAGTTATAACCCCATCACACGTGGCTTAGGTAGCACAAAATTCTGTTCTGACCTACCCAATATCAAATCTCTGCAAAATATTACCTCTGTTGTCAGTGCACACAGTGCAGCGGCGATAATTGTAATAATCTTCATCCCATCAGGCAGCGCCCCCTGCAAGGGAAAGCTTGCTCTAAACCAGGGGTACACAATAGGTAGATCCTCAGATGTTGTAGATTTACAGCTCCCATGATGCGTTGCATGCCTTTAGAATGACAAAGCATAATGGGAGCTGTAGTTTTAAAACAGCTGGAGCACCTTTTGTGCACCACTGCTCTAAACCCTCCCTTCTTCCTTTGGTGCACTCACTCACCATAGAGCCTAAAACCTCCCTTCCCTGCTCAAAGCATGCGCATGCGTTCTTAGATGATGAAGTAGTCCAATCAAAAGCTTCTTTATGAGAAGCATTTGATTGGACCAGACGAGGCCCTTGGTGACATCAGAAGAGGCGTGGGAGCTTTTCCCAGCAATAGATTTTAAAAATTTTTTTTTTTTTTAAATGCTAAAGAAGCTTTGGGCTTTTTACCATGACAAAATGTTTGACCAGTATGGAGTCAATTGTATATGGTAGGAGTGCTAAATCTGCCGGGTTCTCTAGCAAATATACAGAATATCTTCATGCTGATGGACAGCAAATGAAATGTGTTGCCACGTCGAATGCAGAGTTAATATGCAGCAATGGGGAAATGCAACTAAACTAATTAATTTTTTATTCCTCTTTGATTGATAAATTTCACTCCTGAATGATATATACTGCAAAGCAGCACTTTTTATTTCCTGACAACAGCATGATTACGTGAAAAATCGCCAGTAGTTCTTGAAACTCTATTGAGGACTTAAAAATTATTAAAATAATTATACTTCTTTATATAGCAGCAACAAATTCTGCAGCGCTGTACAATAGGTAAAGTAAGCCAAATAATTAAAACTAAAAACATTTGACACACGGAAACAGAAGGTAAAAAGGGCCCTGCCCAAGCCGTACCATCTAAAAGACTCAATGGTGGAAATCACTCACACAAGTCCATCCATAGAACGTTACAAAAATAACAGAAATACACCAACACCTCATGTCACAGCACGTTTAAGAGATGTGATTCCATTTCTTGAGGTCTGTCATGCTCCTAGTCACTAAACCAACTGGTGGGTTTTCCAAACCGGCTCAAATATGTGATAAGCTAACAAAAAAAAGGTTCCTGCACTTAAAGGGAGGTTTAGGATCAGGTCACATGAAGACAAGCAATGCTTTGAGCAACAGGCTGTGTTGGTAATATACAGGGGAATGGTTTTGACAAGAAGGCTGCTGCATTGTGAATGGGCTGGGCCAAGAGGTAGATATAATTATGCAGTCTGGGTGCTAACTCACAGATAAAGCTGTACCTCCTGACTGATGGCTAGTGTTTCTCAATCTATACTTTGTATTTTCAGAGGAAGCTGTGATATATGCTTTTATCTCATACACTGTGTCCAGGAGCTGAACATTAACCCATTGCCAATTGTCTAAAAGTGATCTGAAAACACCCTATTGGGGGGGAATTAATTTTTTTTTTTTTTTTTTTTTCATTTAACTACTCTGATTTCACAAATAGAAAATGAGAGCAATACTTTTCTGTGAATGCCCTATAGTGTTTCAATAGGAGTGGACCCCCTAAAAGGTTAATTACACACAATGTGCAACGTTGATGTACATTCACAGATGGTAAGACATACTGTAATTACACAGGCGTACGCCGCCAGTACGTGTATATAATGCTAAGCAGTGATGGCTCTAATCTTTGACTTCTGTGGATCATGACTCATGTGACGCCCATACAGTGTATTCACGGCTGCCTGAGTGTAATGTAGGTTGTAGTCCACCATCTAGAGAATTCTGAAGGTGCAGGGTGCCCCATTCTGGCACGGAAAGTACTAACAATAAGCTATCCAGAATAGGGTACCAATGCCACCATCACCAAGTATGCAACAAGTAAATAGTCAATAAGAACTGAGTATACTCACAGCTCGCAGCTCCCGGGTTCGATCCTTCATCCTGAGCCCAGGGGCCACACAAGGCAGATGATCAGGGCTCCCAGGAACCAAGAGAGACAGATGTCCCCTCTCCTCACAATACTATCAGGGTGACTGACACTCTCTATCTGTCATTTGTAGCAATATCATATAGATACATCAATATGCCTTCCGACTGCACCTAACATGGGATATCTGTTACTTTATACTATGAGCCCTTTTTTATTCTCAGCTTTAGATGTTAAACAGCTGGGATTGTATAGATCTGCGTCTAGCTATAGTGCTCTCTGAGAAGGCAGATTAGTTATTTCCTACAAATTACTGTTACAGACTTAAAAAGACCCTCCATTTAAACTCCCCCCCACCCCCAAAGCCTCCTTTGTGGTTTTTTTGGTCTCCCCCTGCTGCTATGATGAATCTATAGATTTCTAAAGCTCTATAGAACACAGCGGATTCCTTGCTGCAATCACATCCCCTCCTAGATCTGCTCAACCACCTCCTGCGCTCACATCCTCCCCTATCTTCCTCAGACCGAGGATTGTGGGAAGAGGCGGAGCTTGCATGGGGTGAGTGCAACAGTGTATCTCTCAATGGTCACCGAGTTCCATGCATTCCCCGTATTCCCCGTACTTTGCCTTGGTGGGGCTTTGTTGATGAGCTGTGAGCGAGCTATGGACCACTTGGCTAACTGGGAGAGGATGCAGGTGGCAATAGTGATCTCCCTGATAATGGGAAGAGTGAACAAACAGGATCTTGCCAGTAGCTGTGTAAACATATTGTTTTGCTAATCTTATTAATCTTTGACAGTGCTTCCCAACCTTCTTTCACTTGTGTACACCTTGGCAGCCCATTTCCATACATTGGACCCTGCATATTAGCAAAATGTTTGTAATTGATATAGTTGTTGTCATTTCAAATGTATATGGTTTTCTCTGCCCCATCTCCTCTTTTTCTCGCCCCAGGCTCTCCGGCTTTTACCCCCTTTACATGCTCCCCTGCTTCTCCCCTGATCAGGCATATTAGTATTTACAGTGCAGATAGGCACTAACACACATGCAGATACAGACATGTATACCAACACTGACACAAACAGATACACAAGCACACAGAAACAAACATTAACACACACACAGATACACACATGCAGATACACAAACACACATGACGTTACACAGACATGCAGATACAAACACTGCCACACATGTAGATGCATAGACACACAGATACAAATACTAACACACATACAGATACACAAAAGCAAACCCTTACACACATCTAGATACACCCACTGACACAGACACACAGATACAAACAATGGCACAAACACAGACATACCAACATGCAGATACTCTCACTGACACACATACAGATACAAACACTACATACAGATACACAAACACACTGACACACATGAAGTTACACGGACATACAGATACAAACACTGCCACACATGTAGATGCATAGACACACAGATACAAACACTAACCCATATGCGGACACACAGAAGCAAACCCTGACACACATCTAGATACACCCACTGACACAGACACACAGATACAAACAATGGCACAAACACAGATATACCAACATGCAGATACTCTCACTGACACACATACAGATACAAACACTACATACAGATACAGACACACAAAGAAACACATACTGGTCAAAATCTAGCCACCTTTCAGTGTTCTACCATTTGGGTGCAGGAGGGTGGCTTCTGCTGACTGGGGTTGTTGAGAGTTAGGATCATGCACTGCCGGTCCAGCCTCCTCCACCCCTGCCCCCCTACCCATCCATCTTTCACTCCTGCATGGCTAAGCCTGTGTTAGCAAGGAGGAAGTGCCAGGCTCTCACTTCCTCTCAGCGCTGCAAAATAACAGGGGAGCAGTCGCACTGTTAAAGCACTGCAGCGTACGACCATGCCCATATAAACACATGCCTTAGGCTCATTATACTAGAGAAAGTCCTGCTCTTGAAAGTGTAAGTACATTTCCATATATATAATTTATTTGTACTTAATTGACTATTGGAGTATCTTTCTGTTTCTGTCTTCTATATTGCACAAGAGATCCAACTGGGAGTACTTCTATCATCTAGACCAGTGGTCCCTAACCCAGTCCTCATGGAACACCAACAGTCCAGGTTTTGTCAGCATCTCCATTGGAATAAAAAAGGGAAATACATAAGTCCTAGACCGTTGATGGTCCATGAGGACTGGGTTGGGAACCACTGATCTAGACCACCATGTATCCTTAGACTGGGATTATACCGTTCATGCTTAATACACGAACGGTAGCTTTTAGTTAGCTCTAAAAAACATGAGTGAATTGCCTACACGAACCTAAATAAATTGTACTTAACCTTTATTGTATTGTGCTATCATTTGTTTCTATTTTCCTTTTGACGTTATGAACCTCAGAATATCCTGAAAGGAATATGGTTTGCAAATATTATACTTTGGCGTGGTGTTTCTTTGTTTTTCTTTGGTTCAATATATAATGTTTTGTGAATTCCTGTGTGATCCACTGCTGCCTACATTATTTATCAGAGTGAACGCCTATAGAATAAAACCTTTTCAATGAAAGAAGGTTGCCTGGTCTGATGAATTGTGCTTTCTTTTAGATCTGGTGGATGGCAACATGGTACATTATGGGAAGAAAGCAGGCCGATGGGGGCAGTGTTATGCTGTGAGCAATATTTTACTGGGAAACCTTGAGTCCCGGGCCTTCATGTGGATGCCACTTTGACACGTTCCACCGACCTAGAGACTTAGAGACGGTGTCAAGTCCTAAAAAAATTGTGTGAGAACTCACAAAAGCAAACTCACTCTTAAGTAAACCCTGCTGGGGTAAGAAGATAAATTAATATAATCCAGAGGAAACCTAAAGAACTGTGTGATCCATTTTGAAAGCCACATTAAATCTGTGGAGGACTTACATTTCCCTTACCAAAAGCTCTTTTTGGAGAGAAAGACTGTTACATTGCTAGTAAAGCGAGTAGTAGGGTTTCTAAGGTTCATTGTCTCTCCTTTTATTTTAGCAGTTTCTTGGTGCATGTAAAATGTATTTGTAACCTTTTTATAATATCGGTATGCACCGTGACTATTGTTTTTACTAACAAATGTTTCTTTATTAAATTCTGCCTTTTTCTCCTACAGAAGAAATGCATAAAATATTACTGTGGTTTCCTAGTCATTTCTACTAATCTGTGTTTTTGGGTTTAAAAAATGTCATGTTGGTGGAGTAACCTAAGTTTCCACATTTATAAATTTCCTTGGTGGTGTCCGCTTTTTAGAGGTGTGGTTTGTTTTTTTTTTTGTTTTTTTTTTTAAATGTATATTTTATTGTGTTAATCGAGGTTGTTGTGGGTACAGAAAAGAAGGTGGGAGGGTTGGTTAAGTAGATAACACCTCTATATGACAGTAATAATTCCAAAACATTGTGTCGCCAGTATGCGAGAGACATTGTTCCAACACGATAGTGATATTAACAGTTATGCATCAAGGTAACATCAGTACATTCTAAAAATTGTGGCAATAACCTTCATGAGACAGTGTAGCGCTGTTACATGTGCAAGATGTTCCGTTTGTCGTCGCCTGCATTGTAATTCGTCAGTGGCATAGAATAGCACTAGTTGTCATAAAGTTTCTTCTTTCCCTTTTGTTAGGTGTTGGGTGGTAGGGGTTTGGTAGGGGGTCTAGAACTTGAGAGGGGATCCAAGGGAGGTGTGGTTTGTTTTAAAGGAACACTGTAGTGTCCCTCTGCACCTGTAACCCCCTCCTGCGGAACTCAAAGTTTTAAATAACCCTTCAAACATTCACCTTATACTAGCACCAGAGCTCCGTCTCCACCTCCTCCAGCATCATTGCGAGGGGGAACCTAATACACATGCAGAGCAAGCACCGCGCATGCATTAGGCCTTCCATATATGAAAGCAGTGAACCAATGCTTTCATATGGGGTTTGAAGATGCTGGATGTCCTTGTGCAGAGAGTGGTTTCATGGAGTCTTATCTCTTAACTCTTGACTCTAAAACTTTCTCTAAAACTGCAATGTTTTCCACTCCGTGTTAAGGGGACAGGGACAACTCTGCACCCAGACCATTTCAATGAGATTAAGTAGTCTGGGTTCCTATAGTGTCCCTTTAAGGTGATTCTTTCATCATTATTTTTGGTCTAGTGCAGACAAACAGTGACTTTTAAGCAACTTACGTGTCTGCCTGAGAGTGTTGGGGTTTGTGACAAATGGTGGCATAGTGGTGGGATAGCTAAAATGAATGTAAGGATTTTCCTTTTGTTTGTTTTTGGATGAGATTTAAGTGTTCCTTGATTTTCCATGTTTGAATCCAGGCACTAGAAGAAATTGTGTCTCAATTTACAAAGGCTGGGTTTTAATATATGCAGCATACTGTATAAAATATTGACACAGAACCTTCCTCCTTTTCTGTTTTCTCTGCTATGATTTTTTTTAACTAGTACAGTTTTCTAAATGGAGTATCAAGCACACAGTCACAGACAGCGCTAGACGAGCTTTGCCGGGAGAGATTGATAACCTGTCATCCTGTCATGGGTAAATGAAAGAGGAGCATTTTCTAGCTCTTGGGGACTATGACATGCAACAAGCAACACAGGCGCAAACACTGCTGAGGGAGAGTTAACCTAGATAGGAGATACCTGCAGCTATGGTCCATGATTCACCAAGCTATGGAGATATCCTGGACCCTTATTTGCAAAATATTTTAAAATGTGTGTACTCAGCAGATACAAACATACACCTATAGTTAATCTGAAAATATCATGAGAGAGAGAAACACCAGCCTGCGTGAGAGAGAGGATGCAGAGCACCTGGTTTGCAGAAAACTGTCCGAGTAGGAGAGTTCGACTGTCTTGACTGCCTCTTGTGGCATTAGAAAATGTGGATAGAATTTCAAAACTCTGGATTAAGATGGAGATCTGGATGTGTTCCTGCGCCGATTTGAAAAAACACGCAGACCATACCAGCTGCAAACGGACAGGTGGGCAAAGTATCTCACTCCTGGTCTTAGAAGTTAGTTCCTCAGAAGCATTTGCAGAGCTGCCAAAAAAGTCTGATGAGAAATATGATTCAATTAAGGCTGCACTGCAGAAACGTACAACCTCACCCCTGAGGTTTACATGAAGAAATTCTGTAGCTTGCAGGAACATTCCACAGAGAGCTAGCATACAGTTGTGGACAAACTGACTACAGTGTTCTGAAATTGGACTAAAGGCAGGTGATTAAAACCTTGAAAGGGCTTGGAGGATCTGATGATAAATGATCAGTTTTTGAAGCTGTGCTACATTTTGCTGATGAGGCCTAAAAAATTCTGAAACGATTATCAGGGGTTGCTGTATCTCTTGTGCAGAGCAGAGATAACTTGATGGCATTTAGGTCTGGACTGCCCTTATGGGTGGGATTAGTTTGATATGGAAATGGTATAGGTTTCCTTAGTAATGGCAAAAAAATGTTAAGACATGAGTGGGGACTTACCCTAGGGCAAGCTACTGAGTTTCAATAAGATCTTACCTCAGATGAGCTCAAACCACCAAAGGGCAGACTAATTGAGCTGTTGTCTGTTCTCAGCACCTTCTTGAAACTCGTTTTTTGCTCTCTCTAAGTTTAAACGGTAATCCAGATGTGGACCCCATGCTCATGATGCCTAGAGGGATATCAGCTATACCTCACTGATGATGCCTAACAAGGTTGAAACGATCGTCTGGGGTTGCTGTATCTCTTGTGCAGAGAGACCCGGCCTGCATTTTGGATCTGTTCTGCCCTTTTGGGTGTAATCCATCTGAGAGGCAAATGACCCTGGTTCTTTTTGTAATGGCACAACGTGAGCTAAAACCATGAGAAAAAGCACGAGAACTTAGCGGGGACCCACCGAAGGGCAGACTAATTGAGCTGCTGTCCTTTCTCAGCACTCTCTTGCAACTTGTTTTTTGCTCTCTTTACCTCAGAGTTCTAACATTCTATGTTTTTGTTGGAAGAGCAGAATCAGTCTGCACCTGATGTAGGTGTGCCTGGGGTGCCATGAAGAAGTATGTAAATACAGCCTCACCCAGGAAGGGCAGAAAGAGTGTGCATACCAACCTGTGTCAACAGCAGTGTTGTCTATGTTACCATGTGGAAGTGTGCCATGACAACTTTGCTGGGAGGGCATAATGTGTGTAATTAGCCGTGCCATGGGAAATGTACATTGACTATCTCACTGAGAGGAAGGGAAGTGTTTGTATACCTGAACAAGGAGTGAACAATATGATTGCAGAGGGGGTTGGTGTGTGAGTGGACATTATTCTCAGCCAGTACTCAAGGAGAAAGGATGGACCTGTCAGCAGTCTGCCAAGAGTAAGGTACAGGGACTGACTCAGCCTGCAGAGAGGATGCCTGCAGGGCAGCATGTTGATGGGGAAACCAGGGACCTTATCACCCCACTACAGTCACCCCTCACATATACATCCCCATACAAGCACCTTTCTGATTCTCAACCAAGGTGCAGAGTCAGGAAGTGTTCAGTTAGAAAATAACAGGGAACCATGCCAGACAACCAACCTCTGACCTTGGTACTGTCAGGAAACCTTCCTTTGGTTGTACTTGAACCTACTTTCTGACTCTGTACATTGCATGCTGCATCACTGTGGAACCTTCTGGGAAGATTCCAGAAAGTGTACTGGTTACTTCTCAACAATAATTGTTTATTTTGTAGAACACTTGTAGGTAACACAGGTGCTGACCTTCTTGCCTATTACTTCCAGAAAGCAGGGCTAATCATGTACAGGAACTCCTTATTTATTATTTATCTGCTCTAAGCCTTTTTGTGTTTCCTGAGCCTTTCGTCTTTCCTTTAGCCTTTATCCTGATGGAGTTCCTCTTTTTGACCCGGCTTATCCTTTGATAATTCCTGATCTCCTGTATTTGTGTATCAGAGCTGGATTGTATGATTACCATGTTATTGTACCAGATCCAGCTTGGTCATTGACCTGACTTTGCCAGTTCTGACTATGTTTGACTACCGGACCGTATTTTATTATTTTTTTCTCACAGTTTTGTTTATCTTTCTGTTTGTTTGTTTTTTGTGTCCAACACTGACCGGTACAGAGCGTGCACTTCGGAGTGGTACCTGTCACCTCTCCTGTTTGCTTAAAGGGAGATGCTGAAGAAATACATCAATTTCTGCCTTGTAGAGCTGCTCTATGGGTGCAGTGCATATGGATATGACCAGGGAACAGTGGGAAAGGAGAATGGGCACCAGGAATACATGTTGCATCATGTGATTCAGGAACAAAATGCAGCTCTTCCTGAGGATGTGGAATGTATACTTAAAGGCTCTGTCCATTCAATATGATTGGAATGACTGGGATGCCAGCAACCATAGGTGTGCGCATGGGGTCTTCCTCACCGGCCCACAGGCAGGGAGGGAGGCAGGAGAGGAGCCAGGTTCCTCTCGAGAGGTCAGTGTGTTGCCTATATTGCATAAACCTGCCACAATGTCAATGTACCCCATTCTTGGCAGGTCCTACTCTAGCAGCCTAATGCTTGCACTTATGAGATTAATCCACTTGTTTGAGAAATATTTCCTTACTGAGACTCTCTGCAAGTCAGGGCTAAATAGGGTCCTGGAATGAGGCACCTGTGACAGGGAGGGGTGCAAAACCAAGGAGTTTGCCTAGACTCCCAAATATATAAATGCAACCAAGAGGGCTGCACTCACATGAACATGCATACATTATAGGGTGCTGCTGGGGCCAAAATACACAAAATACAAAATCCAGCGCACTCGCTTATTCACTAAACAAGGATTTCAAATCTTAGAGATATGTAATAGTGATCTCCCTTTCTGGCCTTGGCCCATTGCCATCGTGGCCCAGGGGGCATTTGCCCTGTTTGCCCGATGGCCAGTACGGGCCTGCCAGCGACAGACTGTGCGAAAAAGGGAATAAAAGTGCTTTTCTTGGTAGCCATGAGTCAAAACAAACTGCAACCTGCCAGTGCGAGTCTCGAGTGAATGGTGTGAACTGCGTAGCGTCTCTGGGTGTGGAGGACAAAAGCATATTGTAACAGAGCACCCCATGCATTTGTAGTTTGTTTGAAGCCAAGCAAGTGCCTGATTTATGGGCCACAACATAGAATCAGCCCAGGTTAATGACATTAACTTGAGGAGCAGAAAAGACCTGTAACTATCAAACCAGATAAGTGCCAGGCAGAGATTTGGAACTTTGAGCACAAAAAGATTAGAATGCATAACAAAAATGGGGAGAATTTCAATTCATACACAAAAGAGTGGTATATAAGCCTCACCCCACTGTGTCTCTTATTTACGGGAGTTGTCATGCCCAGTGGGCAAGATTCATTGTTCCTTGTAAAAATATTGTCAATTAATGTGTGTATTTATTGTTTCATTGTCAAAATATGGTTAACTAAAGAGTTGTGTGTATTGGATGCATAGTAGTATGGTTGATAACATGGTAAGGGTTAATTCGGCTGCCTATAATTAAGATCTATGAAGTGAACTGTGTCTGGGAAGCAATATGTTAAATCTTGCTGGTTTATGGAAAATCCCTGAAATGGTATAGCAATTAAGACATGTTTTATTTTCCTGTTTGTAAACCAAACAATATGGCTAGTCTCTGAGGCCCTGTAATATTTATTACTACCGGGGAGGCTTATCAGATCCGCTGTCTGAGTTGAAAGCTGTATTCCTGTGCTGATACCCAGTATAAGCTGTATTCCTGCACAGATACCCAGTAGAAGCTGTATTCCTGTGCCGATACTCAGTAGAAGCAGTATTCCTGCACAGATACCCAGTAAAAGTTGTATTCCTGCCCAGATACCCAGTAAAAGTTGTATTCCTGCGCCGAAATCCAGTAAAAGCTGTATTCCTGCGCTGATACCCAGTATAAGCTGTATTCCTGCACAGATACCCAGTAGAAGCTGTATTCCTGTGCCGATACTCAGTAGAAGCAGTATTTCTGGGCTGATACCCAGTATAAGCTTTATTTCTGTGCTTACTGTGCTAATACTCAATGCTGTCCTGTGTTAGAACCCTTACACTTGTGCTAATTACCGCTTATCTAAACTAGTAATTGGTACCACATTGACTCTACTGTTTGGGAAGAAACATTGGTCTAACCAAAGACTTTTAGTACTTATTCTTGCATACCGAACATTTTTTGCAAAAACTCTGGCAACCAGAGTGTTGTAGTTGTAATGGTGCTGGAGTGTACCTTGGAGTGTGAGGTCATGCTTGGTCCTACCAACAGGGCCAGATTTCACATAATGCAGAGTACACACCTCCTGACGTGTGAATGCCTGATAACTTAACACTATGATCTTCTACTACCCACAACCAAATAGAACAAAAAAACACATTGCTACACATACACAGACATAAGTACTCAAACACAGCTACACACATCGACATATGCATACACTTAAACATACACACACTATATGTCTTGGAACGTGTGTACAACATAAAAAAAAAATATTTAAATGATCAAGTTTTTTGTGCATTGATCAGTGTGTGCGTGTGTCTATATAAAACTAATCTATCTATCTATTTATCTTTCTGTCTATCTATATCTATCTTAGCATTAATTTCCACTCCTTTTTTTCATTCTTAGTTGATGTGAGTGATTCAGAACAGAGTTAAACTCTTAATTCATGCTTGTAATTTGGTTGAGAAGCAATTCTTTATTCAGGAGATGTAAAAACTTTGTGCAATTCCAAATTTTAAAGCTATTTTAGTGTGAGTCATAGTGTTTTATTGATGTCGGGGGCCTTTACAAGAGATGATTTCTTGAAAAAAAACATAAATATTATTTGATTTCTTTTTTCTTTTACAATTTAGTTGACAGAAGAAGCTTTAAAACCATAAAGTGCAGTTCACTGAGAGAGAATAAAGTACAAAGGAAGAACAATTGTGTGCATATGTCTCATGGGAACATTTTTAATTGGTTAGGAAAGATGTGTATTCAATAGTTATGTTCCTTTAACTCCTGGATGTGGCAATTTGCATTTAGTTGAAACGAAGGTATTTGTTTTTTGGAGCATTTTAAATGATAAAATATACACCATTATCTTAGATGACTGCCCACCCACTCCAGCCACCACCATGTGGGTTGTGGATATATATTTTTTTCAATGGGGGGAATGGCCATCTTATGCCTCTTACCCATTAAGTGAGTGAGTTGTTAACAAATATTTTAAATACTGCCTGGGAATCCAGCCTTAGGCAGTGTAAACCTGGCAAGTCCCCCACCACAGTCAGAGGTACCCTGCCATGAGGGTATACGAGTCTGTAAGGTAAGAAAGGGTAGATGGCATGCTACAGTGCCTGAAGTTGGGCACATCAGCAGTGTTCTAGATGTTTAACTATTCATCCACTTAAAGGGACACTTCAGACTCCTACAGCACTTTAAATGTGGAAAGCGTGTCCTAAAAAACTTTATATGTGGAAAGCGTGTCCGCTCTTTTTTATTTAGAAAAAAGTACAGATTTCAATAGAATTTGACACTTTTATAAATTAACCTGGGTACACGCCCTGGCTTTCAAGCAGACAACTGGTCCTGTTACTTCCTGGTTTGGTTAGCTCAGTGGAACTAAACACAAGAGGCAGCGATTGCTCAGAGCACCTGCCTTGCAAAGACTTCTCATTGAGCTGCATTGGGAAGACTGTAATTGGACAGCTACAGAAAGTCTGGGCGGGGTTAGAAGGGCAGAGCTTGCAAAGACTGCAGACAAGAGAAATGCAGGTTTTGCACGTTGTTTTTAGATATACGCCCAACGTAAAAATGTATAAATAAATGCATGCAAGTTTTCATTTGAGGTATATCTATTAAACAGTGATTTTTATTTATTTTGTATGTGGGCAGTGGAGTGTCTAGACCAGGGGTAGTCAACCTTTTAATACCTACCACCCACTTTTGTATCTTTGTTGATGGTAAAATTTCCTTACCGCCCACCAGTGCCACATTAACTAATTTTGTAGCACAAGTGCGATTTGATTTATTTTTCAATATTTTTTGATAGGAGGGTTTAAAAAAAAATTATCTATTTTTTTTCTTCCATTTTCGCTTTTTTTCTATTCCACTTTTTTCTGTGTGTGTCTGGGAGGTACGGTGTGTGTATGTTTGTGTGTGTGTGTGTGCGAGAAAGGTGTGCAGTGTGTGTGAGAAGGGTGCATTGTGTGTGAAGGTTGTAGTGTATGTGTTCGTGAGGTGCAGTGTGTGAGGGGTACAGTGTGTGTGAGGGCTGCTGTGTGTGTGAGGGCTGCAGTGTGTGTGAGGAGGGAAGTGTGTGTGAAGGGGAAGTGTGTGAGGAGTGCAGTGTGTGTGAAGGGGCA